AAATACTTAAACATTACAGAAACACTATGATTTAGAAAAATAGTACAACATAGCAGAAATACTGTGATTTACCAGAGACACTGTGATGAACTATGAATATTGTCATTTTAAATTAATACTATGTTTTAGCACAAATACTTAAAGCATCCACACAATAATAAGTATTTTCAGCCTCAGAATCAGAATCAGAATACTTTATTGATCCCTGGGGGAAATTATTTTTTGTTACAGTGCTCCATTATAAACCAACATAAACCAACATTAAGACAAAACAGACAATACGCTAACTAAGAATAGTACAATATATACATATATATACATACATAAGTCACTAAATAGCTGGAAAAGAAACGTGTAGTTGTAGCAGCAAACAGTGTGTTAAGTGGATGCGTTGTACAGGGAGATGGCCACAGGCAGGAATGATTTCCTGTGTCGTTCAGTGGTGCTTTTCGGTAATCTCAGTCTCTCACTGAACGAGCTCCTGTGACTGACCAGCATGTCATGGAGTGGGTGGGAGGTGTTATCCAACATTGTCTTTATCTTGGACAGCATCCGCCTCTCCGACACCACCTTGAGGGAGTCCAGCTCCATCCCCACAACATTACTGGCCTTACGGATTAGTTTATTAAGTCTGTTGGCATCTGCGACCCTCAGCCTGCTCCCCCAGCATGCGACAGCATAGAGGATCGCACTGGCCACAACAGACTCATAGAAAATCCTCAGCATTTTCTGGCAGATGCTGAAGGACCTCAGTCGCCTCAAAAAATAGAGACGACTCTGGCCCTTCCTGTAAAGTGCTGTGGTGTTTTTAGCCCAGTCCAGTTTATTTTCAATGTGTACTCCAAGGTATTTATAGTCCTCCACAATGTCAACACTGACCCCCTGGATTGAAACAGGGGTCAAGTGTTTCCTGGTCTTCCTGAAGTCCACGATCAGTTCCTTGGTCTTTGCCACGTTGAGCTGCAGATGATTCTGTTCACACCACGTGACAAAGGAGTCGACCACAGCCCGGTACTCTGTCTCATCAACCCTGCTGATGCATCCAACCACCGCAGAGTCATCAGAAAACTTCTGAAGATGGCAGGTCTCTGTGCAGTGGCTGAAGTCTGTGGTGTAGAGGGTGAAGAGAAAGGGGGAGAGGGTAGTCAAAATGGGTTAAAAAATAATGTTTTAAATATGCCAAAAAATGTTACAAAGCACTGCAGCAGGTTTTTTAAATCAGCAGGAGAACCTAATTCACACGATGGTCTTTAAAGACAATTAGTGCGGATTTTTATGCTTGCACACAATTTTACTGTGAGGAGGGAGACACCCAAAAAAGACTGAATCTTAATAGTAAAAATCTTTTGCGAATAATGAATTTCTTGGAAAATATCAAATATGAAAGTTATTATTGGCTCTGGGTTTCTGCTCATTTACACCTTCCACAGAAGGTTGTAGAAAAGGAAACACTTAGATGAGAGCCCCACTGCTTCAAAATTGGCCAAATGACCTTCAGGAAGCTCAGCATAAACACCACAGAGATTATGCATTAATATCCAGAATAGTAATATCTCAAACATATTTTTAGATTGAGTACAAGCATTTGGCAGAATATGGGAGCAAATGCTCACAGTCGGGATGATGTTTACAGTTTGAACTAGAAATCTCATCTGTTTTATTTATTCATATTGACTCCATCTCTCGCGCTCAGGCTAAGGTTTATTTCAGTTATTGGAAATGTATTATCATTAAGAAAATGATGTTTACAAGCTTCAAATTAAGCATGCGACACATTAAAGTGGCTCTCTGCAGCCTGGAGGACCAACATTTTACAACAGCAGATGGACACTGATCCTCATCTGCAACCTTGAGGTGAACATAAGCAGGCTCATAATGAGAGAACTGCTGATTTAAACTGAAAATTAGCTGAGTAAACATGCGCAACAGAAAATACAGCAGATACATGGAGTCATTCAGGAGAAATGATCAGGGCGAAGAATGTGAGGTCAAGCTTTTGGCCCTCGTTCTCACTGTGAAGGCAAAATCTAAAGGAGTCTTTTGTTTTCCCCTCCTCTACCTTCCAACAGGCACAGAGTTTTATCTGCAGCAGCACGAAGGATGCAGGATGCGGGCACCGATGCAACACTAAACTGGATGCAGTGAAGGAAACAGGTGGCTCTCTATACACTGATAGAGAAGTCTTTGTGGTTTATGTCATCCACTGAGGGAGTTTAGAAGGAAAGCCCAGGAGCAGCGGTTTCCAATTTGGGAGTCCCAACAGCTCTGAGGCATAGCTGATCTTCAGGTATTAAAAAGTCCTTCAAATGAAACTATTTCAGAATAGAAAAAAGATTGAACTTGAAGGGAGTCAGAAAGCCATGACTTCATTTTAAGGAGTCATAAGGGTTTGATTTGGAAACATAAATTGGCACTAATTGCAGTTGTACACAGTGTATCCCAACTATAACTGCAGTGATCCCACACTAACCTGATAAGATCAGCATTTGCTGCATACCTTATCAAAAAGTAGCCTTCATTTCCTTTTAATATCATACACCATCAGCCAATTGATGTGTTTTTAAAATGAACATGTAGTATATGGTTTTTTAGTATTCACTATGACACAAAAAGGAAAATTATCCTAATTTTTTTATGAATATTTGAAGCAGGAAAAGCAAAAAATATCAAAGCTTACAGGAGGATGAGAAAAGGCAAAACTTCACCCACTCTTTTGCTCAACCTGTGGTGAGCTGAAAACATGAAGCTGCTCCTTCCATGCTACAGAAATATCCTGTCCTTCCAAACATGTCCTCACAAAGACAGAAGCACATGAATACACCCACAAATTCACAAAAGAGCACGCACACTCTCGCAGACACAGCCTCACTCTGCCATTTCAATCATCCCACTGTAATAAAACTGTACAGCAGGTGCCATCGTATCACATTGCAGTGATATTGCCTGCAATGTCTCCCTAGGATGAAGCTACATAAAGAAGCAGTGTTTGTTCTCCACAACCAACAAACCAGCAAAATAGTGAGAACTCAAATTCAGGAATCAGCTTCAAAATATCTATAGTGGCGAACCTTAACATCACTTTTGGGTGTTATTCTGTAAAATTCTACAATAAGGCAGTAGAAAATAAATCTTCAAGTTTTTACTGAGAATACAGAATAATACAGATTTATGGGACTAACAGTGTTGGATTATCCTTTAAACGGGCTGCTTAGTTTAGCCAGCTTAGGTAATGATCTCAAAATAAATATTCAGAGCTCCAGCTCTTTTCTAAACTGGTAACTGTAGTGCTTTGGGATGATTCCAAACATGATGCCAATTAGTTCACAAATCATACCAAGCTTCAAAGATATGATCTGTTTGTATTGTGCAGCTCATAAAGGGAATCAGATGCTTAAAGAAGGAAAAAGGCAAATAAGATAATTTAAAGTACTTCATGCATATTATTAACTCTACAATATATGCAGCAGAGGATGGAGAGCAACATTTGCTTTAGTTTAGCCTTAATTATAGGAGAAGTATGAGCGTGCATGCTGACGAAATCAGCCCTTGAATGCTGTATTTTGACCTCAGTTAAACATTTGAAAAGTTTTGTTTTGTTTTATTTTAAGACCTTCTGAAGTGCTCAAAGCGTCTCTGTTGTAGTTCCCGCCAAAGAAGGTGACACCTGATTCTTGTCATAATGTCACGCATATACTGTAATTAAAGCTGTGAAAGATTTGCAGAAAACGTATGTAGCCAGTGTGTTACCTCTGTGTCCGCATCGGTGGCTTTCAGCTCAAACTCAGTGATGGTCTTTCCCCCACCCTCCTGCACCCTCATGCCAGGGACCTGAAGAAGAGGCAGGGAGTCGTCCACAGGCTTGACAGTGATGTAGAAAGTCTGAGCAACCTGAAGACAAAGAACAATAATAAGATGATGAAACAACCTATGAGCGATACACATATGTGTAACCAAAACTACCTTCTGCCAGCAACTTCCTACTTTTCACTGAGAACTTTCTCAACAATTGAGCAAATAGAAAAGTCTCATTGTGATGAAAAAGTTTAACCCCAAAGGGCTACACAACTTCACCAAGCACCACAGTGGCCACAAAGCTTCCACACATTGCAGTCAGCCAGGCGTGAAGGTCAGATGACCTTTTTTAAATGTTTACTCGAGTCCTTGTGATCCTCATTAGTTTGAATTAGCAAGGCAGATTTATGCATGAGATGACGGGACAGGAAGCTGCTACTTTCCCACTGTTATAAAAGCTGTAGAGTTTGTTGGTTTTTTTGCATTTCTTTAATGCCTTTCAATTTAATGACACCGTTAAGGTTTTTTTTTAATTAAGCTAAGTGTTTAAGTGATCAGAAAACATTTCTCTTTCTGGTTTTCTTTCTTAATTCCTGTCAACAGCTTCTGCACCATTTAAGGTTGTTCCCTGCACTTTAAAGATTAAAGGTCCCTCTTTGGACACACAAGGACTGTTGACTTATGTCTTGGCCAAAATGGGAAGTTATTTTTAAAACCCAATTAGTCTTTAGGAGGAACAAATAATATTTCAGAGCTTCTGTTGTAGTCAGTAGATATCTGCATCAAGACCTCCTTCATGAATGAATTTTAAAACATGTTAAGCTACCAGGTATCGTAAAAATCTTCTGCCATTCACCTCATTTGTCCCGTCGGACACGGTGAAGGAGAACCAGTCGGCATGTTTCTCTTCTTCACTGATGTCGACGTACCTGATGCTGCATGATGCCAGGTCAGCCTGCGTGAAGGTGCTGATCCTAGTGCCTAAAGAGACAAAAGAGAGAAAAGTAGTCGTTGAGCCCAAAACCTCCATTATGTTTGTTATTTGATCTTTCATATGAGATCTTTCATATGAGATGGTTTTACACTGCTAAAAAATAGGTTATGCTTGATGTTGCGGGTTGGACATGTTGTCAAGTGATACAACATCTTCACAGTACAGCTTAATATTGTCATAGGAGTAGAGAAGAGGGTCATTGAGAGCAGCACACAGAGAAGCTTTTTGTTGGAAGGATACAAGTTCTTCCTGTTCTTCTTGTTACTGATAACCTGACCGCTGTCTGTTTTGATCTTCTTCTTCTGGTCTTCTTTTCCCGTTTCTCTCACAAAACGCTTCCTCTTACGGTCCCTAAAAAAAGAAGGGGGAAAAAAGACTTTAAATTATAGTTTGAAATGACCATTTGGTGGATACTGAGTCAAACATAGGGAAATTTGTACCATTTCATCATTTTCTTCTGCTGGTTAAGGCGATCGCCTTCATCTCCCATGAGATCAAGGACAGCTGAAGAGGCCTGCTGTTCAAAAGCACTGCCCTCTCCACCGAGACTCAACCTGTCGACGCATAACACAGGACAAAACAGCATAAAACACAAAGCCATTCACATTTTTTAAAGAAACAGATGCAACAGTTTAATGCCTCACCCTCTCTCAGAGTCAAAGTCTTTAGGTCTGTAAGGGATATAATACTCTTCATCTTTGCCTGACTGCCTCTTTTTCTTGGTCTTTGGTCGCTCTTCGCCATCTTCCTGCTGACCTCTTCTTTTACCACCTACCACTTCTGAAAACACCCCCTGGTGGAAATAGAAAGAATTACATGGTACAAAGTGACAAAGCATGATACAGAGATCCTACTATCTTCCTCTTCTAGTTTGTATACAACATCATCTACATCAAAACTGCACTTTATTTTGCTTCTTCTTCATCAGACAGCACAAACAACTTTCTCATTTTGACTCAAATATTGGTTTTGAATGAAAATGATGAAACAATCCTGGGTGTTTATTCAACTTGTGAGCAGGTTTTCTAATCCACTGTACTATTATTATTGACACTAGTACATGTTCGTGCTGCTGGCAAACTAATACACTCAAGAACATATAGCAAAGCAAAAAAGTGAAAAGTAGGTCTTGCCTACATAAATAAACATAAGACAGTTGTGAAACTTTGACATAGTAACATCTGCAGTAATATTTACACCTGTGATGACATCTCACCAGCATTAGCCTTATTTTGAAACCAAGATTGTTTACACAGACTTTGTAATTGCAGAGAAATGCTCCATTTATTTTGGTCATTTCATTTTTGAGCAGGAAGCTCACCTTTCTTGTTATAGCCTTTAGACGAATAGAGAGTTTTCCAATTAAATACATATTCTTTAAATAATGTTCCCTCTTATAAAAAGTTATAAAAAGTTATAAAATTTTTTTAAAAAAAAATGTATTATACCTCTATTACTTAGAAAAAAACCTGTTTTTTTTCTGTTGTCTGTTATATAACGTTAGTGATGCTCGTTTCAATTCATTTCTTAATCAGCTAAACAGGTCAGTTAAGAAACAGTCAAATATTAAGTTAAATTTGAAAACGGTTTAAAAAAAAATATCCCCATTCCAAAATGTCACATGACAATCTCATTGGCTCACGGAGTTATGATGTCACTACACGATCCTTTTAAGTTTTTCCTTAAACAGGGGTGACACACAGCAGTTTTTTAGTTCGTGTCTTCGCAGCATTTGTGTTTGCAGCCTTCACACGTTCACCACAGAAACTTTTGGAAACCTTTTCAGAGTTGTCGTGTACAACCTTCAACATGTATCCAACAAGACACCAACCAAGGCAAAAAGATTACGCCGCTTCTCCTTCCTGTCGTGGCCGGCCAATTTCCCCAAATGACCTCTTAGCCGTCCAAAGGGCATTACATGACAGTAAGAAGGAAAACTACCATCTCCAGAATAAAATTCAACAGATTGAAGAAGAGAAACTTCAACTGGAGGAGAAGTGTAGACAGATGGAAGCGGAAAATAAGAACCTGGAAGAAAGACAAAAACGCCAGCCCGACATAAATATTATTAATGAGGGTTGGGGAATCAAGTTTGGACAAGCCCGAGAGCAGATTGTCTTCCTAATTAAGGAAAACAAGCAAAAGAGCGTGGAACTAAAGGAGATGTCCAACCAGCTTAAAGACAGCAAAGCTACTGTTGAGAAGACAGAATGGGATCTCCAATATATGGACCAAATGAATCGGCTGCTCCAAACAAACTTCGATGAAGCTGTGAAAAAAAATGAAGAAATCCTCCAACAGAAGGAAGAACAGGAGAAAAAGCAAAGCGACATGGAGCACAAACTCAAAGTCACGGAGGAAAAATACAGAATGCTGAAAGAGAAGGTGGATGATACTCTGCGCCAAAATAAAGACCTTCTTCACGAGAAAAAGCAACTAGAAGGGGAAAAAGAAAAACTGGACAAACAATGCTCGCACATGCAGAAAAGGATGGAGCAAATGGCGAGAAACAACTCCGAGCTCACTAAGGGGATATTGTTGGAATACAACAACTTGAAGCGCAAACACACTGAAATGCAGGCGCAAAAGCAAGAACAAGACATACATGACGACCTGCAGCGTACGCTCCAAGATATCCACAAAAGAAATGAGGAGCTACAAGACATGTACAAAGAAGTACAACAGAGAAACGCAGACATGCACAAGGACAAGATAATGCAGGAGGAAACATCCAAAGAGCTCAGGGAAAAGCTTGAAGAAAAACAAGCAACGTTGGAAGAGGTGGAGAAAACATGCAAGAAGCTTGAGAAACAAAACAAAGAAACCATCGATGAGTTGAGAACCCTCATCCTGGAAAAAAAGCTCTTGTAGAAAACTGCATGAAAAAGAAGAACAAACGCTTCCGCTGGCCCTGGAGGAGGAACTCTACTGCTTCCTCAGCAGGTGTAGCCTCGTCTTGCTCCACCTCTGTTCACCTCCCCAACCAGTCCCGGCAGTTGACTGTCCCCTCCTGAGCCTGGTTCTGCCGGAGGTTTCTGCCCGTTTAAAGGCAGTTTTTCCTCCCCACTGTCGCCTAGTGCGTGCTCAGAGGGGATTGTTGGGGATTTCTCTCCTCTACCTTGTTTCAATATTTACTTAACTTTTTGTGCTTACTTCATTTTACCTTGTTTCATTATTTACTTAACTTTTTGTGCTTGCTTCATTTTACCTTGTTTCATTATTTACTTAACTTTTTGTGCTTGCTTCATTTTACCTTGTTTCATTATTTACTTGTTAACGTTTTGTTCTTACTTCATTTTACCTTGTTTCATTATTTACTTGTTAACGTTTTGTTCTTACTTCATTTTACCTTGTTTCATTATTTACTTGTTAACGTTTTGTTCTTACTTCATTTTACCTTGTTTCATTATTTACTTGTTTAACTTTTTCTTTTTCAACTTATTCATAAAACAATAAACCAATTGAATTTATCCTTTGAGTATTTTTCATCTTTTCATCTATAACTTTTTCAAACATTCATATCTGTCGTTTATCTTCTTCTTGAAACCTCATAAATGGTGAAGGAAAAATCCTGGAACATGGTTTGAAACACTGAAATTGTTTCAGCTGAAACCGGCAAAGTCATACGTGTGTGTGTGTGTGTGTGTGTGTGTGTGTGTGTGTGTGTGTGTGTGTGTTACTCTGTACATGAAACAACTTTGTAGAAAACCATTTTCCTGTCGAAACATTAGCAAACACAAACAAAGTGTTATTAACAAACGAATTACTAATATCCCTCTCTATGATAGTGATTTATTTTCTTACGGGATTAAAACTGTAAATTTTACCAAACTAAAGAAAGTAATACAAAGTAATAAAACTTTTTATCATTTAGTTAAGATCCAACATCCATTCTTTTCATAGTTGGTTGCTACCACCAGAGGGCGACATGGAGTACTTTTACCCATGTAGAGAAACATAAACGCTCATATATTACACACGCACCAACATTTTACTGTCTATTACTACATCAGTCTGTTTACATTAAACTGATATTGATAAATAAACTCACAAATATAGCTTCATGAATTTGGTAACGTCCTGTAAGTCATATCGTCAAATGCTTTTGTTCCAAAATAAAAAGGCTGTTGAAATAATGATTGGTGTGGTTTTTACAGGTGAATGAGCAGCAGAATAACTACAGAGAATCTGTGAATACATGAATGACCTTTTGTAATATGCCTTTAGCCTATTAGTGCCCTGAAAGAGTGGAGATTTTACCTATTTTAGCAAAATGATCTACAAACTGTATGGGTGAATATAGGAGCTTGTTAACAGGTTAGCATGTCCAACTAACAGACAGGAAAATGAGCTATGTATTTTTTAGATATCATGTTATCAGCTGACCACTGAAAGCTCTTTCTGCATATATCTTCTACACGTTCTGTCTCTTGTCACGTGTGTGTTTATATTTAAATCATGTATGTTGATTATTTAAATATGCTTTTTCATTCATTTTTAAAAAATGTCAACAGCTGTCGTTTACAGATTCATTGTTTACTATATGCTATATATATATATGAACATGAACAAAACTGAAAACACTGGGTCACCGACCCAGGAACCCTGACAATATGTATTTTACCTGGTTAATGTGTGTGGCGGGGCGTGGTCTGCAGCGCCGCTGCAGGGGAGGCGGACGCACCTGAGCGGCACCCGCGATCACGCCTCGGCGCCTTAACGTCTGTGCTCTCTATGCTGTTGTGTTGGTATGTGAGCTTTAACACCGGCTGTATGCATACAGCAACCGTGTGTGAAAAGTGGTCAATAAAGAGAAGCTGTAAAGCGTGTTCATGGAAACATCGTTGGGTCTGCCGTGATATGTTTACAATGGGACTTCTGCTCCTGAATCTCTGCGCACAGCGTCTGCAAATCGGAGCTGTATGAAGTCACTTTCATCTTTACGCAGGACTGTAAGCTGTCATCTGTGAGGCGTGAGCAGTGTTTGTTTTTAACATAGTTCACGGTGGAGCTGCTGACATAATGTGGATCCGAAGATTGATAATTAGCCTACCTGGGGTTGAAAGTCTCGATAAATGCACGGCGTTTCGGCGGGTATATCGGCTTCCGCAAGTGTGACGCTTATTTTGAGCGTTCAAAAACTAATAGAATATAATTTTATATTTATATTTCAATATCACAGTAATCTTCCAATTTAGAACTACAAGTTAAAAAAGAACTAACATAAATAAAATACACTTCAGCTAATTACTTAAAAAAATAATTTATTTTCCCAAACCACGCAGAGCCGCACTAAAAGGACTAAAGAGCCGCAGGTTGCTGACCCCTGCACTAACCTATTCAGCTGCTTGTGAATGCAAATATCTAATCAGCCAATCACATGCCAGAAAAAAAAAAAGGGTGATTTAAGTGACTTTGAAGGCAGCATTGCTGTTGGTGACAGATGGGCTGTTTTACGTTTTTCAGACACTCCTGATCTTCTCAAATTTTCTCAGGAATTTACAGAGAACAGTCCAAACTGAAAAGCGAAATAAACATTTCCCTGGGTAAAAATGCCTTGTTGATTGCAGAAGTCAGAGGGGCGTGGCCATGCTGAAGGCAAGAGGAATTCTAAGCCAGTTTCTCAACCCAGCCCATCTGATATCAGTAACCACAACACATTCAAAGTCAATTAAAAGTCGCCTTTCTTGCCCGTTCCGATGCTCGCTTTCAACTTTGAAATGAGACCACTTGGACAACAGTAATGATAAATAATTGCAAATAGAGCACGTT